CAAAATTTACGTAGGCGCCTAACATTTTATAAACAGGAATGTAGATTTATATTGAAAACTATTGCACAAAAAGACGATGTTAAGGTTCATAATGAAGTATTCTCCTCATACATAAGGCAGGCATATCAAAATTTACGTAGGCGCTAATATTTTATAAACAGGGATGTAGGTTTATATTGAAACTTATAGTGCAAAAAGATGATGTTAAAGTTCATAATGAAGTATTTTCCTCATACATAAGGCAGGCGTGTCAAAATTTACGTAGGCGCCTAACTTTTTATAACAGGAATGTAGATTTATATTGAAAATTATAGTACAAAAAGATGATGTTAAGGTTCATAATGAAGTATTCGCCTCATACATAAAACAGACAAATCAAAGTTTAGGTGTTCACCTAATTTTTTAAAATTGGAATGTAGATTTATATTGAAAACTATTGCATAAAAAGACGATGTTCTTCCTTTCCTATAAATAAGCATCTTTTCTCTGCTACCATCTCTGGGAGTACAGGTAGTGGCCCGGGAGGTTAAATGGTGCTTGGGGAGCAGTATTTGGTTTTGCCCGCTCCCCCTTGTAATATTTGCCGATTTATGCAGTTGCCTTGGAATTAATGCTGCAATAAGATGCTTTTATATTTTTCTACAATTCATTCATTAATTTACACACATTTTGAAACTTATTTTTACATTTTTATTAATATAAATATAATGAAAGTTTTTAAGATTAAATAATTTATTAAGGAAACCTTGTATAATTATTTTTTGAACAGCAGTTATGCAAATTTATATAAATGAATGAAAAATACATATAAAAATAATTTTAATTAATTTTAGGCAAGAATTTTAATTAAAATAAACTAATCAAACAATCTTTTTAAACTTCTAAATGAAAGTTTTCTAGTTAAAAAGTTTTTTCATTTGAAGACAAAATGGTAAATCAATTTTAATTTTATTTAATTTGTAATTAAAATTTGTAACTAGTTTTAAAACGGGAAAGTGTAATTGATACAAATAATATTAATCTGCTGTGAGGATTAAATTGACAAAGTATAGTTTCATTTTACAGCGAAGTATTTTCATTTAAATAATTATTTTTATTGTCTTTAGCCAGAAAATTAATCTATTCATTGCAATTAATTCTGTCAAATTTTCTTTTCTGCAGGGATGGCGCCAGTGAGGGGGGAAGGGGACCAGAGACCCCCTGTCGGGAATGTTGCCCCCCCCCAGGGGAAATTTTGTACTCCTTTCACGCAACGGGCTATCCAACTTGTAGATAAATAAAGATCTGACGAAAATTTGAGAGGTTCATCATTACGGTCCTCCCTTTGCACCCCTGTCCGGGAGACCCTGACCCCCCGTCGGTCGAATCCTAACGCCACTCCTGCTTTTCTGATGAAAAGAAATGGAAGGTTAAAAAAGGATATTTTCCCACTAATAAATCTTGAAAGAAGATCACTGACACTCTTGCTTTTTAGAATATTGAAAATCTTGGTACCTTAAGTCTCTAATACCTTAAAGAATTTTTTTTTTCAAAAATAATACTTACAAATCATTTCAAGATTTTTTTTGAAAGCAATTAATTTTGAGAAAACTTAACTCTTTACAGTTAGAAAGCAATTTCAGTCTTTTCCAAAATTCTCATTGCAAAATTTATATACAATATTTTAGCTCTAAATTCTTGTAAGAGTTTTAAATATGCAAATAATACACAAATAATGATTGCTATATTTATGTCAGAATTTTTCCTTAAAGTACTTTACTGATTCTGCAATCGTGTTGAATTACAGTGCTTCTGTGAACATTATAATTCGTTGCTAACAATTGTATAGCTAATTTAAGAAACAGAGGAAACTCATCAAAATTCGCTGGACAGCTGGATTTTTTTAATAGAATGAAAAAAGTATTATTTCTCCCGAATTTAACGTCAAAATACCCTGATATTTTTTACTTACATGCATTTGCAAACTTCTCACATTATTTTTGCTCTCTCTTTATTGTTTAATGCTTTTCATATAGAATAGTTACAAAAGGTTTTTTCAAAATAAAATCTAAAACGTATACAAGAGGGTAAATCAAAAGCAAAGACATTTTTCTTATAATAGACAAGATTTAGATCCCGCCCAAGCCGAAGACACACGGGAAGCAGATGAGCTGCCATGAAGCAACCCATCTAGCAAGAAGGCCCCATAGCAAATTACAGACATCCAAAAGGGGAAAGAAGAAAAAGAAAAAGAAAAAAAAAAAAAAAAAAACCCCAAAACAGGCAGTTGGCTCCTTCATATAAAGGCCCTCGGAATGTCAAACAGAAAAGTGTCTCATACAGTGAAACTAAAGACCTACTCTGACCCACCTAATTGCCAAAGGGTCACCAACCCTACAGGTATCCTCAAAAAGCGAATTTAGACAAAACAAGCCAAAAGAATAACTTATGAAATGTAAAAAGAAAATGTACAATAGAAAAACAAAAATGAATAAATAAAAAAATAATAAGTAAGAATTAAAGTAAGAAGAAAATGTCAAAGAAAATATTGTTTTTTAAAGGTATTCAAGTTAGGTTTAGGTCTAAACCTAACTTGAATATCTAACTTATTATTATTTTTATTCATTTATTTTTGTTATTCAATTGTGGTATCTTCAGGATTTTCTACACGATCTGAATGACAGAGTTTCTGACAAGTTGCAATTTCAGTAAAGTTGCAAGAAGAAAAACTGCATGCAACACTTTTCCACATATTCCCCCCTGTACGGCAATGTACTTTTGGTATATTGCCATCAGCTTCTCTATCTCGTTCGTGAAGACGTCTTTGGTTGCTCGTGAAGCCACGTCTGTACCACCTACTGTACCACAACCATCGATACAACATTGTACTATTGGTGGTTTTACGGCTCAAAAAGAATAATATATGAATAGAAATAAATAAAAATATAAAAATGCAAGAAATACTAAATTAAACACCGGCTGTGAATACGAATGGAGGAAAAAAAAAAGAAAATTTTCGAAAATAGGTAAAACGGCCAAATTTGCCACTTAAAATTAAATAAATAAAAAATCGAATTCGAAATTTAAAATAATTTTTACGGCGTCAGCTTCTTTTTGTGCTAATTTATCACTGTGCCAAATTCGGTCCTGGCAAATCAAACGGTCTGGATGTGCACACACATACACACAAAAAAAAAAAGTACATACAAAGAGCAAAAGAAAATTGGTCTTTTATATATACATAAATAATACAAACAGTAATTAAATTGACTGGAATATTCAACATAGTCTTGTCGCATTAGTGTATGAGTCATTCCTCCTCTCCCCCGACACAGGGCCCCCACACCATACGCCCTTCTCATCTCAGTCCCTTTATTTAAGCACAGCCCTTTTAAAAGTATCTAAGCGCATTTTGACCGGCCGTCGATAGCTCAGGTGGCAGAGCGGGGGACTGTAGCGGTATGAGTGCGGTAATCCATAGGTCGCTGGTTCGACTCGACGGAATTGCTTTTTCTAAACACTAAACTAAACTTTTACACTAAAATTGGATACCAAATTCAAAATTTATGCAATTAGTTTATCTACGTGCTGATGATTCTTTGAGAAGAAAATCAAACCTTCATTTGAGTATCAGTTTTGTGCATTTCCAACCAAATGATATACACTTTTCAACTTTACTTCCGAATAGATTATTGGATAGAAAATTTGGAAGCAAGTTTGCAGTCTGCTTCCTTATAGGCGAGCGCGGCTTAAAGACTAAGTGCAATAAGCACGCTCACCGGATTAAGTCTAGAGGCCCTTAAGCAATGTAATTTTCAGAGTCCCGTTTTTCCTCCACTACCCCTAAAACCATATATTTTAATATTGATTTTAATTTCAATTCTATATAAATAGTTTTAAGTAGTAATTTTTAACGAACTGAAATAGTAAATCATTTTACTGCGGATCACTTTCAAGAGAGTGTATTTCAGTATATCGCGTATAAAAAAAATGCAAAATTAAAAAGTAATTTTATACAAAATAGCAAAACAAAAAATGAAAAACTTTTTAACACAATTTAAATACTATTTCATTATAGATTAGGTAATTATAGAATATTTAATTTTAATACTATTTAATTATAGGACATTTTTTAAATTAGAAAGCAACATAATATAGTAAAACTTGCACATTGTTATTAATTAATAATGTTACAAATTTAAACGGTACTTGATTTAAATTTGAATAAGTTCGAGCAAATTAAATGAAAACACAAAGTTAAATTATTCTGAAAGTATCGCAAAAAAATCTCAAGGCCCCCTAAAGTTGCGGGGACCATAGGTATTTACCTACCTTGTCTGTTTAATAATCCGGCCCTGGGAGTGCTCCAGGGGTCTCAAAATGCTAAAGAGTTTTATTTTTTAATATCGCTATAAATTAAAATATTCAAGGAAACGCCCCAAATTCATTTCTATCTATTCAGATCTAAAATCCTAGTTCAGATAGACTGGTATTTAATCTATTCTCGATGGATAAGCCCCAGCCCATCGGTGCTTTCAGACGTAAGGAAGAAACCCATCCGTTATTAAAAATATTCTCACGAAGCTGTCATTTCAATGATTAGACTGAATGTTTCATTTTAAATGATTATCAAATAATTCAATTTTCATTAGTATTAATAGATCTATTCAGTTAGTACATTTTTTTCATTTCCAGAGAACCAACTGCGTTCAATTGGCTATTTTAAATAATTGCCGTGATGAAAATAAGATACTAGCAACTCCCGATTTCTTTTGATTTCCTCCTCAGACTTTTGTTAAACGCTTATTGAGGGTCATTTGCCAACAGTCATCACTATGTTCCCTTAATATCTTTTATTTTAATCTGGCCACCGAAGTACACGCCTGAACATGGAGAATTTCGTTAGAGGATGAAATTTCTTAATGATTCTCTGGTTTATGTTACAGTAGGAGAGTTTATTGCTATTAGATATGCGATGTCATTCAAAGCTGTGCAACGCCGCGGTGGCCTAGTGGTAATGTCTCGACCTCGGAATCGGAGGGTCGCAGGTTCGAAACCCGCCGTGTATGGGGCTTGTTGCAAGCTAAATCATACGTAGTGGCCAAACGCCCTCCCGTTGGTATGGCTCGGAAGTTTGGAGAGAAGGGTGCCAGCCCAGGTGTCGTCATCTAACCGCGGTTCAAAATTGCGAGGTCCGTCCCTAAATAGCCCTCGTGTTGCTTCAAAACGGGACGTTGATCTAACCTCAAAGCTGTGCAAGGCTCGAACTACGAGAAATAAATCTTTTTGGTTGCTGTCGGGGCGCCCCCCCCACTGCTGCGCTTTACAGCAGCTTTTGTGCGAGAGCTAATTCTCACTCTTCGGAGTGGACACAACTCTATCTAACGAACCGACTCATTTTGAAAAGGTTTTATAATCAATAAGGTAGATTTTATTTAAGATATCATTTTAATGTTGAATAATATTTCAGTAAGCATTTCGTCGATCAGCATGCCAATTTCGTGAGCTTATTGAACTCCAAACAAGAAAACAAAAATCGTATACATTTCATAAAATTCGGGTATTCGTATTTTCGGGTGGTGAAGTTTATTGTTACATTCATAGCTTTATTAAACAGAATGCATTTGTTTTAATTTAATTTGAAAATAAAGTTTTTGAAATGTGAAATTCTTTTTTCACATTAGTTATTTTCAATTTAGTTTTTTAAAATTCATATTCAACAGAAGGAGTTAAGTTTTTAGTGTTCTAATCTCATTTGTTATCTTTGCAAAGATTGTGACAATCAACTACTGAATTATTTCTATATACAGTCAAACCCCGTTATAACGAAGTCTTAACGGACTGATGCAGAAGTTCATTATAACCAAGGGTTCACTCTATTCGATTTTTCAAATATTGACTAAACAAGATTTGCTATAATCCTTAAATGCTTTTCTGTGCTGAACGAAATAATTACATAAATTGCAATTAGTAAATGGGCTATAATAAATATTTGTTCTTAAAAAATTAAACAGTGAAATTAATTGTACTTACATTTATTTCTCTAAAGCATGAAAATAGGTAGTGATTTTTCGTCAAAGGGCTGAAAAGGGGAAATTTTGGTTCACTATATCCGAATTCCTTCTTTTGAAGATCGTTTGAAGCATTTGAAAATACATAACTGACTTAAGAGTTCGGTTGGGACCATTTAAAATGTTCGTTATATCGGGGTTTGACTGTATTTAATTCAATAAAAATAAAATACAGAATACAAGAAGTGTAATTTTTGTTATAACACCGCATCTGAAACGTTGCTATAAAAGCATTCTGCATTTAATATCTTCAAAACAATTTTCAAGAAAAATTAACAAAAAATCAATAGTTCGTTTCAATCTTATATTTCCAACAACCGACCGTATTTTAATGTGAATATATTTTGAAATACTTAATATCTTTAAAATATGCTCTTAAGTTGAATTTCTATATTTCTCAATTCCTCGTGTTTTCATTTTTTACACTAAATAAAAAATGCTACTTTTCTGTCTTGAAAAAGAATCAAAAACTATTACAGAAGAGCAATACCTTGAACATCTGCAATAGTTTATTAATCCCTTAACTGAATAATTTTCTTTGCTATCTAATAAGATGACCCCTTCTGTTTTTGAAAGGGGCCGTCGTTTTCATTCATCTCAGAAGGCATATAATACTTGAGATGTTTATAGATTTTACGTAATTTTTGTTTAAAATTATAAAGCTAATTAATGATTAAATTTTAGTTTTGAGACCAAAAATGCGATAATTGGATGTACGAGTATTTTCAGTCTTTTAAGTTAAGTGTTTAAATAATATGACACTTCTATACGTGAAACAAGAACTAAATAACACTTAAACTTAAACATTCATCGTCTTCTGTCGAGGCCGTATATATGAATTTTGTATAATTTTAAACTTTGTCGTATTAAATGATGCTCAAAAAACATTTAGTATTTCATAAGCATAAAAAGTAATTTACTGTTTAGAATTAATGTATAATTTTGATTCTTATCAAATATTAACTGACGGCCGGGCGCATCTAATCTGCGAGATGAAGCACCTATATATATATATTTGTTGCCAAAGTGCAGGGTTTACCGAGAAAGGAGTGGGACATCTAGTAGCTTCCTGACTCCCTACCACTCATACAAGGGCATCGTGGTTTCTTCTCCAGTACACTGTTGGTCTCCGTGTAGTCCAGGCAACGAAGGCCAAAAATAGCTAATTAGAAAAAAAAAGGTTTAGTTTTTAAATTCGGCACAGTTGTTGGGGGTAGTACCCTAAACGACATACTAAAAGTCCCCGCCGGTGGTGGGGCGGTGGGTACAGGGGGTTTAAAGGGGCATTTTCAGTTTTTCTTAAATATCTCTAAAACTATGGGCTCTAGCGGAAAACACTCACTTACGAAATTGAACTACATAAAATTTTCTACAAAAAGAGTCTGACATTTTTTTTTTTGTAGAATTAATAGTTCAGAAGATACAGAGGGATTTATAATATATATATTTAAGGGAATATTTCTAAAATTCCCTAGTGTAATGATAAAATCAATTAAAAGTGTTGAATCAACAGTACTTAGAAAAACCTCATGACTATATAATAATTTTACAAGGGTAGTATTGTATGTTTCGGAGCGGGGGAGGGGCTGACAAACCTATTTGATGAATAGTCGCGCTCCCTTCCTCTCTCACATCTGTTCCCCTTCACAAGTTTCCTTCTACTCGCATTCCAGTCAACGAATTGTAAATCGAGAAAAAGGTGTAGTTTTGAAATATGGCACAGTTGTTGGGGAGAGTGCCCTAAACGACATACTAAAAGTCCCCGCCAGTGGTGGGGTACAGGGGCATTCAAAGAAGGGATTTCCCATTTCTTTTTTTTTTAAATATCTCGAAAACTATGGGTTTTAGCGAAAAAAAAACTTAGCTATAAAATTAAACTACATTACATTTCCTACAAAAATAGTTATATTACAATATATCTGTAACTATTACAATATATCTGTAACATAATATTATATATGTAAGTTAAACATTTCAATTAATCAAAACATGTGTTATATTTTCAATATATACAAATATTAATCTAAAATTAAAAATAAAAATAAAATTACCTTATCAATAATCATACAAATTAATATGCATAATCCATTTTTATACTTGTTTATAACCAAATTTCATCATATTTTTCTACTATTTGATCAAGTTCGAACTCTCCTCTTCTTCTAGAGGGGCACCAGTAGAACAGATATCATGGCAGGTGCTAAAAACAGAAACGCATTGCTAAACAAGTGTTGCTCCGCCTCTCCTTTGGTTGGAGGAATTGAGGAGAGATCAGATTTGATCTTGGTTGATGATTTGAGAAATGCTGCATATCTATGGTTATGTTCATTAGTAGGGGCTTTGTATCCGGCTAGGAACATCTTCTCGCCGGCTTGTGAGATAGCATCTAGTATTGATGAGGGGTTATAAAAGATGCCAGAAATGTTTTTTAT